AGAAGTTTCTGGTTTTGTTTGGTCATCTGTCATAAATAGAAGCAGAAGATTGATCTGAAGTTAAAATAAGTTTGAAAACAATCTTATCCTGCAGCATAAAGACAAATACAAAGGTGGCTACAGTATGACATGTATTTTCAGTTCATTTAAAAAATAGGCCCATTCATTCTGAAATTACTAATATGAGTTCCCTAACTTTTAGAGGGAAAGTTCATAGGAGAAATCCCTTTTCTCAAACCTTCACAGTATTTCAAGAGAAGAAATATAAATCTTCAGTTAAAAGATGTTTGGAAATAATCTTATCCTGTTATTTAAAAAATGAGGTAAATGTCTGGCTGTGGTTGTTTGGGTCGGGGCTGATAATAAGAAAAACAACTAATGTGATTTTTTTAAATGTATGTAGCAAATATACATTTGTGAACTTTACACTTCATTTAAAAATCCCTTGGGGAATAAAAGGAAAGCTGTAGAGTAAAATATGAAAAACAATCTCATCAGGTACAGATACGATTTAATGAAAATCAAGAACAATGAAAGAAATGAAGCTGCGGTTTCTGATCAACTGTAAATTTGATGTCATGTCAGTTTTTAAAAACTTTTGTGAAAAGATTCTTAAAGAAAACTGAGTTAAAATAAGTTAGATAAGGTTGATAAAAGATGCGACTTGTGATTGTTATAAAACAACAATAACCAAAGAAATGCAGATGCATTTTAGTTCATATTCGTAACTTCCTTCACTTTTTAAAATATTTCATATAAAGTTTGTTCATCTGATGTGAAGTTAAAACTGGTTTTAAAACTATTTGATCATCAAGTTTAACAGCAAATATTAAGGTGGATTTAAAGTATTACTTCCAGCTTGTTTTAACTAACAAAAGAAAAGAATATTAAAGAAAAGAAAAGAAGTTTCCTTTAAACCACGTTTCCTCACGACTAAAATAAACTGAGATGTTTCCATTACACTTGATAAATGAAACTTTTTTACAGACTCACTTTGAGTTCATGTATTTTGAAATCTCCTCTAATCTCATGTTGGTGTTTCAGCTGCTTCTTGTGACAAACAGGCACATCTGCAGCCGCCCCACATCTACGTTAGGCTCCTATTAGCTTGCACACATGTCAGTGAGCTGCGCTGTGTGATTTCCACTGACATGTCCTAATCAGAAAGGTCCTGTCAGGATATGAGTGAGTGGATAACATCTGACACTGACGTCCAACCCTGTGACCCAAACAGTAATTCTCTGGCCGCTGCGGAGGCCTCCTCCTCTACAAGCATCTTCAAAAACAGGCCTTAGCGCGGGGGCTGGGATGGATGGGATTGGGGGTAGGGGGCAAAAAGCACGTGAATTCCAGAGGGTGGGCTCTGTAGCCCCGGTGGGTGGAGATGGGGCTTGTTGTTGTTTCATTCCTCCAACGTGTTTTTCCCTCTTCTCCTCATACCCGGGAATAACCCCTTGAGAAAGTCCCACCAGGGGAGATGTGAGATAAGATGGGGAGGGTCTCAGTGAATGTGGCATTTTCTCCAGGCTTGTTGTTATTGATGTTGTGTGTGGTCTGAAGTGACGGCAGCTCGATCCCTCTCCAGAGCTGCACATTGGTGGACATGTCATCTGAATCAGCAGTGAGAGTGGTGGTGCTAAGTTTGTGGACTTTACAAGTTTTTAACAGAATAACGTACATTTGATGATGTACTTATAGAAGTATTAAGTATCAAACGTTCCAAAAATATGTGGGTGAAGGGTTTTTTAAAGTCATTTCAACTACTACAAAACTATGAAGTACAGTTTTATCAATAATGGCTGTTTTTGCCTTATTAAACTTACTTCAAATAATCTGAAGTCATCTATTTGCTGTTTCTTCAAGCTTTTGTAACGCAGAATAAAAAAAAAAACTACAGGCCAACTCCAGCTGATGCCGCTCAGTTTATACACTCTCTCCTCTATATCCATTTAAATGAACATCTTAAAAACGACAACAAGATGTCCTGAGCCTGCGGGATTGATTTCCCATTGACAGCTTCACATCACAGGACTGAACACATCAGTTTTCACATTTGTTTTTCTCAGGGTTTTCAGTCACATTCCAAAGCTGTGAGTTCAGCTCTCCTCTGGTGCCCACTATGATGCTGGGAGGTAACTGGTCGTATGTGTGGGGAACATGAGCTGCAGCAAAAACAAGTCCATGCATGGAAACGCAGACGGAAAATGACCATGTATAGTTTACTCTGTGTTGTTTTCAAGTTATTCTCAGTTTTTACTTATAGTAAATCGGTTGTATATTTATTTAATATATTCAGCTGAGATTTAAACCATAAAGGACAGAGTTGACTGTATCCGCAGTCAGA